CCTGATGTCATATTCATTTGATATGGAGATTGATTTAGAGTCATTCGTCTCGCGCATAAAAACTGTGACATTTTTCACAGTTGGATGAGCATAATTCAGTTATTGAGTAGCATCATAGGCATTATTCGGCAGACTGAAGATCTCACTTGGCCATAAGGGGCGCAATCTAATCTTTCCATCACCCTTACCAAAAAGCTTATTAGTGTTGACTGAAGCCAGTTTGGACGCGTTCATCACACGATTGTTGTGAACACTTGGAGGAGACAATTTGAAGATGAATGACCTGGTATTTTCAGGAACAGGCCTGCGTCTATTTTTAGGCTTCCATGCATGAGTGTTAGCCAAGAATTTGTGGTAATTGTTAAGCTCGATAGCTGTGAAGACCTTGCCGAGAGCTTCCTCCTCCGTTGATTCGACGTTTCTCGAAAGTCTAGTGAGAAGGATCTCACACGGGTCCGACACATAAGAGTTAGCCAGTGGAGACACCAAACTCGGAAGGGTAGACGCGAGAATAGAGCTCAAGGACTTCTTTACTATGACAATATCAGCACGAATGTCTGTTAATTCAACAGACATATCCTCTGAACGTATCTCCTGAACTGTAATCTTGTTTTCAAACCGAGTCATCGAAGTTTCAAAGATCATGAGGTGCGTTAATAGCTTGTCAAGCTTCGCGTCGAAACGTTGAAGAAAATCAGCAAGCTGTGGTGGCAGTTCTTGTTGTAGTAAATTTCCCATACTAATTGCAGACCAGAAGAATCCCAATGCAGAAAATAACCAAGCATGAATGTGCATGAATGTTTTGGCACGCAATAATCGAAAAACCAAATCGCTCAAAGGCAGGTCCAGAGCAGTAAAGAACTTTCATAGCGGAGCAAGAAAACGTGTGTCTGTGTTGTTCTATATCCAGAGAAAAAGAGAGTAGAGTAAAGTAGAGTACAGTACAGTACAGTACAGTAAAGTTTATTCGGCTAAGGGCTCAGACTGGCACTCTGTAGCCTAGCTCAAAGAATTACAGGTATAAACATATCTAACGTACAACAACAAAACAAAATATAATACGTATATAGTGAACTTGTGTCAAGAAAGTAAAATAAAACATAAAACAAAGGAAGACAAAATAAAACTTCACAATCGTAATTCACGAATGTCCTGCTTGATACACTCGCCGATCTCATCTACAGTAAGTTCAACAGGTACGCCATGCACAATGAGACGAGCGGTCCAGCAGCGAGCTCAGCTTGACCTCCAGGCCTGCAGCTACAAGCTCCGGGCATGCACTAAAGGTGTCCGCGCACAATCCCTCGCCCTCAATCACCACCGTCGCACCGCGGCCGTAGTGCATTCGTTTCATACGACCACTAAGTGTCGCCGGATTGACAGATCTCACGAGTGCTGCTTTGACGGTAGGGGCGTCGCGCATATTCACTTCTACACTCTCCTTCGGTCCAACCACCTGTGATCCACACCAACGGTGAACAATCCAACGGTGATCCTGCTACTCTTTTTTATGGCAATAGGTCGACCACGCACGCGGGTATGACCGCTGCGACAAGCGACAATACGTAGACTCCACATTAGACTTCGCTGACTGAGTCTTCGTGGCTTCCGTCTTCAACGCCGTCGCGCCTGGTTGATGTTCTTACAAGTAGCGGCAAGAGTCTTCTTGCAATTATTTGCGAGATCGAAGTAGGCGAGCTTGGCAGTATAGGCGCATACAACCGCGAAGAAACCTTCCCACATCGAATTCATAGCCGCTTGTATTTTCTCGTTCTTCTCCGTGGTTTTCTCAGTTGCTATTATGCTTAAGAGTGTAGTGTGGTTCTTCAAAAAAGATCGCGAGAACTTTTCAAGATCCTCGCTGGTCAAGCTCATCGTAGTATGAGATGTAAACCGGGCATCATCTTCCAATTCGTCAATGAAGTCTTTAAGGCTTGCGCCAGGCTTAGAGCGCTTTGTCGGTGGTGCTGTACCGAGCTCAGTACGCTTTACCTATGGTAACATATTGGCGAGCAAAGAGCGTGTAAACAAGCTCAACCGCCGATACGTAAATGTAAATATTCACGTCGCTCACAGACGTTAGTCAATCCATAAGTCAAAAATTGTAAAATTAGCGATACAGCCGTTGTCATAAATGGGCTTTTTTAGCCGCGACAAGCAAAGTCGCATGCGTTGAGCTATGTCCAAAACGTCACTGCAGACCCGTCTCACACCCAGGTGAAGTCAGAAAAAATTTAAAACACAAACAACCAGCACACGAGCACAAAACACTGAGAGCAATCCGACACACGACCGTTCTACTCTACAGAGAGAGAGAGAGATTAGATTAGATTAGATTAAATAATTTATTAGGCGTAGAGCGAATCCCGTCTGCATTTCAGCAAGTTCATTGATAAACAATAAAATTATAAACAAAATAATGATATGCAGCATAATACAGATATCAATAGTAGTGATTTCTAATGACAACAGTATATGTCCTTGTTGCCAAAAATAGTAGATAATAGTAATGGTAGTTGTACAATTAATTATAAAGTGTATTGCTATTTAGTTAAAATGTTGCTGAAATTACTAGTGTGTTGATATTGATGAAAAAGATTAGCGGTGAAAAAAGTGTAAGTACCTGAGTTGAATAGGGTTTGAAAGTTAAATGTAGAAAGTTTGCGCGACTGAGAGATAAAGTGATCGCGAATATTTGTTGAAGAGTATTTAAAAACTAGAGATCTAGATTTATGTTTACTATTGATGTTCGCAGGGTTTGCCTTTTTGGAAGTTCAATTTCTTGTTTTGGCGATAAAATATGTGTAATTTTTTAGGCCAATCGCTGAGAGGGCTTTTTCTAATATCTCCTGGTTGGGGAGATTAAGATTGGAAGATATACCTGACAATAGCACCTTGTAGTAGTCTCTTCAATGAGAAGTGTGAGGTTAAATATGTAACTGCGAGGTATCAAGTAATTTAATAGAGCTTTTGACCACCTTAACCTAGCTCTGGATGGCAAATATTTTCGCACGCGCACGCTAGTGATGCCATGTCCCGTCAGACGATAAATAAAGTCCTGCTGTAATAACAATTATTTGAATTATTGTGATTTAATATGTTTAAATTAATTAGAGGGAGAGAGCATAATGGATATATTCGTTAAAATATTAGAAACTACTAGGGCTGTGCGAGTACCCGAGTTTTCTAGTCGAGTCAGGAAAATTTGAGTACTCGAGTTTTTTCGAGTACTCGAGTATTTTCGGGTACTCGCAATATTTAAGTTTTAAGTAAATAAATGATAAATCAAACAGTCTCTAAACCACCTCCCTTTGTGTGTACGTGCTTGTAAGTGTGATGAAGTGTGTTGCTATTAAATTATTTTCTTCTTTCAATTTAATCCACTGCGAATATCACACTTATAAGCACGTGCACACAAAGGGAGGTGGTCTAGAGACTGTGAATTTATCATTCATTTACTTCAGACTTAAATATGTTTCGAGTATTCGAAAAACTCGAAAACTCGAAAAAATTCGAGTACCCGTCCAAACTCGAGTACTCGAAAAAAATGCGAGTACCCGAAAAAACTCGAGTACTCAACAATTGAGTACTCGACTCGAACTCGAAAAAAAATCGAACTCGACGAGTCGAGTTTTTTCGAGGACTCGCACAGCCCTGGAAACTACAAGGACTCCGCCTGAAATCGACAATTTTTCAATTACTTTGGATAACCCTAAAATTTCGGCGAATTATCCATTTCAAACATTTGGAAAAGTGAATTCAAGGATTCGTTACAATAAATTTCCGACTCCCACATACATAAAGTTGACAAATTTTTCAATAACATTCCCTTGATCTCCCTTTCTGAAGTTAAGCAGTGACTTCAACGGTTCATTATTGAATTCCCCAATTCCAAAGTATTTTCAGGTGTATTTTCGTACTACTTCAGGACGAAATATTAGAGGAATCGTTGGCTCAGTGGTTAGCCTGCTAGCTACAGAAACAAAGGCCGCTCGAGGAGCCTTGGGTTCATGTCCTGGTGAGGACAATCGGATTTTTCCGATTACCATTCGGCAGGATGAGCACCCATGTGCTCTGACTGTCTTGGGGTGGGTTTTTCCCTGTAGGAGAAGAAGGAGGGTATAGTGCATATGCACTACGCATACCCCCAGGTTTCTCTTGTCCCACAGGTCTTCGGGCCTGGGCAAATGCGAGTGAAGAGCAGTAAATAAAAAGTGTCAAAATCACGGGAAAAATAAACAAAAACGCGTAAAAATGACGCTTTTAAAATTTTTTGGAAAATTTGTGGGAGGTGGAAATAAGATAGACTTGACGGAAATGAGACACTTGCTTACGCTCGTGCGATAACCTCACTTCGCGCTACCAGAAGTGCGACTCATGGCTCGGAAAAGGGGGCATAAATGTGAACTTTGCACAGTACTATAAAATGTTGTTCGATACTCGGGCCATAGGGGACACTTTTCGGCCCAGCTATTAGGACCCTCGCTGCGTTCGGGCCCTAAACTACGCCGTGCCAAAAAGTGTTACTTATGGCCCATGTATCGAAAACTACTAAACTGTACTGTGTTTGTGTGTGCAATACCACCATCATCGACGATTCCCAATAAAAACTGTAAGTTTATTATCATACCTCTTTTGGCATTATACTTCTTTTTACCCTACCCCTACGCAATAAGCGAAAACTATTATAAAAAAGGTCTCTTGTTAGAATTCCGACTACGGAGTATATAACACTAGGTTGGTTTTCTACGTTTGGATCTCAAACCCTCTCAAAATCGTATATAAAATTATGAGGTGTATATGCATTATCGAGGAGCGCGTGCCGCGCTCCGAATGGCAATAAAATATATACACATTAAAACCATCCTTTTTTGACATATGATTCGGTGAAAATTATTTTACAGTTATTTGTAGCGAGATGAATAATTAACTACATTATATAAATGAATGAAAAATCATAAATATTTTATTTATTATTAAACATTCGCTTTTAATTTCAGTTTGTGTCCAGTGGCCAGAAGGTGAGTAAAAAAAACATAATTTTGTAATAATTTTTATTCAAGTAGCCAGCTTTTGATGCAGTTGAGACCATATCAGTTGTAATTTTACTCCAAAATTTTTCAACCTAAGGCAAACTTTATTTTAGTTCAGGCTTTACCGAACTTCTACGTTAGTTCCGATTCAATAATTACCGAATTCCGATTGAAAATCATGTTGATAAGTACGCCTTACTTTAGGATTACACCTTATACTCTATTGAGACTCGAAAATTTGTTCACAGCTCATTTTTGGTGTACGTAGGCATATTTTCAGTAAAAATGGTAAAATTAATAATATTATGAAATTGAATCATAACGTTTCTTAAAAAAATTATAAGTTTTTATTAAGGGGATAAACCAGTGTTAAAACCTAAGGTGATAATTATGCAAATAAACGTGTATTAATTAAGTTGTAAAAAATTGAACATTTTTCCATGTTTCTTCGCTTCTTTTTGAATTAAAAAACCATAATTAAAGTCCAGGGTATCAATGAAGCACCCAAGATCACTAAAACATATTTTCAGTTTTAAAAACGTATTACGCTAAACAGAGTTTATGACCTACCTTCATGGTAGTAGATATTTAAAAATCATTCTAAAAGTACCGACTTCCACTTAAGTGTGATCGATTTTCATATAAGTGTCACGTCACCCTCATTTTATTATAAACAATTATAATATTCTTAAAAATAATGTATATTCAAACAACGATGAACATGAAATTTCACTCTACGAACGGACGCGCCAGCCTCAATCGACGGGATCTGACGACATCAAGCTAAGTGAAAAACACAACTATAAAATTGATAAAAACATCGAGTTCTATGAAAAGAACATCGAAATCTACACCTCTTACAAAGGTGTGAAATAGACACGCCATACAAAGCATTGATTAAATGTGAGGCGATGCCAATTTAGCAGGAAGAGCAATGAACTCGTAAAAATCAGCAAAAGCTGTCGTCAGGTTCTCACGGATGAGCAGGTGCTGACAGGTACTTTATCCTATTTTTGTATGCGAAATTTAGTAGCATATATTGAGGACCCACGGAGGCCTCTGTGCGATTCGACTATCATCTTATTCGGTGTGCAGAGCTCACGTCACTTTGTACCGCGATTTTATACTATTCAGACTTGTATTAAATTGTGCCGCGAGTCCAATGCGGAGTGTAACTTGTAATCGAGACTAGTGCAGTTAATGCAGTGCAGCCGACCAGGAACGCCAGCCAACCAATTGCAGAGTGAGCTACGATCTACACCGAGAATCGTCCACCAGGCTTATGTATATTATTTTTAATTAGTTGAGTAAGCCTAGGTGTAAGTTAAACTTTCGTATCTGAATGTATGAATGATATTGCATTGTAATTTATAATAACAAATAATAACGACTACTCCACTCCAAAACAAATAAATAACATCATATATACTTTCCCTCGTTGTCACCAGCCAGAATAAAATCAATATATATTATTTATTATAAAGTGGCTCTCCAGCCGTAACATAAGTCAAAAAAATTTTTTTACTTGGCATTATAAGCATTTCCATGTAAGAAATTTAACTTTATTTAAATTGTTTTAAAAATTTTTATTCATTTAAATTTTTCTAACAAATTTCTCAAAATTCTGCTACACTTAAGGGCTCAAAGGGAGCTTAAAATCGAAAAAATTTTCATTCCATTTTCGAGTAAGATTTTTTGTTCCCTTTCAATTGCATTTTTGAAACTTCAAATTGTTGACCATGGACTGAGATACAGCTGTTTCCGTGAACCATTTTCGTATACTTTGTGTGCTAAATTTTTTCTTCTTTTGCGTTTTCTAGCGTTTTATTTTTTTAGTGCACATCAGTTGTCATAACATTCAGAGCGTACCGATTGAGTTGCAGCACCAGGGTCTTGTACACTTCTTCAGAACATCAATGGTTACGGTCACAACCTCGGGCGTGCCGACCCTTAAAACACTCTGCATAAACACTGAAGCACAATTTTTTTTTCATTTTACGTTTTTTTTGTGACCTCTATCATGAATTTACTGATTGAAAGTGACCTATGAGTTCGATCACTTCGCCCGAGGTCGTGACCGTTACCATTGATGTTCAGAAGAAGTGCAAGCGACCCTAGCGCTGTAACTCAAGTGGTACGCTCTGAATGTTACAACTGAGGTGCACTTTGTAAAAACGTAAAACGCCAGAAAACGCAAAAGAAAAAAAAGAAAAAAATTTAACACGCAAAGTATACGAAAATGGCTCACGGAAAAAGCTGTATCTCACTGAATGATCAAAATTTTGAAGTTTCAAAAAATGCAATGGAGAAAGGAGAAAAAAAATCTTACTCGAAAATAAAATGAAAATTTTTTTGATTTTAAGCCCCCATTAAGCCCTTAAGTGGAGCTCGGTACTCTTACAAAAATTTTAAGATATCTACAATGAAGGTTGGTCATAAACTCACTTTCGAATCGTGCGGTAAGGCGTTTTCAAAGTTAAAAAGGTGTTTTAGTTATCTTGGATGCTATCCTGAACTTCCATCATCGTTTTATTCATTCAAAATGAAGCAAAGAAACATGGAAAAATGTTGAATTGGCTTAAACTTAATAAATGCATTTTTATTTGCATAATTATCACTTAAGGTTTTGTCATTGGTTTGTCCACTTGCAACAAGTCAAAGTGTAGAAAGTATTTACAATAGAAGGTAAAAAATTTAAATAGTATACGAATAATTTTATCGAAACTTTAAACAGCAATGCTATTATTCTTTAAAATTTATAAAACAATAAATCAAAATTGCTGACATACATCTAATTCCGATCTTCGCAAAAAAAAGATTGTACAAAAAAAAAGAAAAATATAGAATGTAGAATGTAGAATGTACCCTGTATACATCTCGTTAATAATTTCATATTTGGTATCTAATTTAAGTGGACATTCCCATTGCAAATTGTAAAAAAATTCACTTTAAAACAATTTTTTTTGAAAACTATAAATCTTATTCTTTCCGGACCTTTTTGGTATTGTTCCTCTTACATGATACTACAAAAGAAAATTTTTTTATGGGACTTGAGACCCATTTTGTTGGCTGTAGAAAGAATTTGCTGAAATCCGTGTTTCAGCTCTTGCCAGTGATTGAGAGAAAACTATAAGTCTGATCCTCATGTTTCATTCTTCGTTTTAATCGTTACAACTTTCTCTAGAAGACAAACCTCTCAAAAGTTGATATTTTCAATTTTTATGATTTTGGCACGAGTTAATCTAAAAAAATGCTGTTTTTGGGGTGAATTGACCCTCATGAAAAATTAGGGATGATTTTTTTAACTTGTTAAAGGTTTGTGCACTAGAGAAAGTTGTAACCATTCAAAAGAGATATTAAGCATAAAGATTGGACTTGTTGTTTTTTCTCAATCGCTGGCAAGAGCTGAAAAAAGTGGTTTCGAGAAACACGCGTCCCAAGTTTTGTTCTTGTGACGTCACCGTCAACGTACGTGACCTAACGCACGAGCGCGACTCGGTTCACGATCCAATGACGTACATGCAGCCAGCTGTAACTAACTGGTTTATGACAGCGCGACGAAAAATACGGAAAGTCACGATCGGTCGCGAGTGATAACGAGTACACGCGCACGCGCACTCAGCTGTAAGTAATTAGTTTATGACAGCGCCGTGACAAAACAGGAAAGTCACGATCGGTCGCGAGCGATAGCGAGTACACGCGTACGCACGGTTTATGACAGCATAATGCAATCGGGGAATCTCCCAATTACGCGATCGTCGCCGATACAAACGTGCGAATCGGTTTATGATACCCGAATTGGTGTCAGCTGGGCCACGCGCAGAAATTTTGTAAATAACAAAAACATGTTTTGAAGCTCAGCGGAAATTCTCCGAGCGACAACGCGGAAGTAAAAACAAGCGCATTCGGATATAAATACGGAACGGGAATTCAGGCAGTCAGTCATTCACGTAAGTCGTATTCGTACACTGCATCACCGGGCTAAAAATTGTGTGAAGAGTTGAGTGTAAAAAGTAATAAGTTTCGAGTCGTACAACCAGTCAGTGTCGAGATCACCAACGGTCAAGAGTGTAGGGAGTGGACAATAGAGAGCAGAGTGAGAGAATTGTGTGAGAATACCTAATCGTCGGCCCTTCAAATTGGAAACACAGCGTCAGCCAAGTAGTAAGATTAATAAATATATTTTAAATTGTAACCATTGTCTATCTTTCTTTCCCCATTCAGCCGTATCGGAAGTTGATAATTAGATAACACAATACGGTACGTTCGGCCCTGTATTGGGGACGTGACATTCTGTACATAAGGAGCACGCAAGACGCTTTGCGTAATCTAGAATAACTTTTTTTACTCCATGAATTTTGTTCTAAAATTTTAACAGGGTATTTTCATGATGTTAAAGAACGTTTTAACGAAATAAAATGTATCGATTTTTCTTCTATTTTCATTGAGAGTGACAACAGATATTTATGAAACTTTGCAGAAATGTAATTTAAAGGACCCTTGATATGCTGTAGAAATTCCAGCCAAGGTTACCGAACTAATTTTTGAGAACGAAGCCGTTGAAAATAGTAAATTTAACATGGGCTCTAATGGGATGCCGTCATAATTTCATACATTTTACGCCATAACTTTCTTATTAGATGACAGATCTTAACCAAAAAACGAATGTGTTATGCTTCAAGTCACTACCTTTCGATTAGTATGTTAAAAATAACGACTTACCTTACTAATTAATGAGTAATTAAACAAAATGTGCGTAAAACCATTGATTTCGAATAGTGCGTGCGGTTGCCTGCCTAATGCGAGAAAGAGACAGACAGATGCCTCGTTGTATTATTGTTATGATTGCCGACGAGCCCCCTTAAACAAGCTGTCTTTTTCTTCCAAGACAATAGCAATAATATTTCTCAAATCAGACTTTGCTGTGTCAACATCTGGTACAGTTACCATAACACACACACTAGGGTGGTCCACTTTTTCAAAAATTT